CTCAAAAACCCAAAAAAAAACCCCACCAAAAACCCAAAAAACCCCCAAAAACCAAAGCAGTGGGTTTTGGCTGCCTTATCCCCACATTGGGATGATTTAAATCAAAAGCAGAAATTGGGGGGAGGCTCTTCAGTGGCTGCAGCTGGATGGGAGCCAGCCCTGGCTCTGCAGCCTCGGGGTGCCCGGGGCTCCCCTGCTCCTGCAGGTCCCTGTGCCAAGTCCCACGGGCACAGCAACACCCAGAGCTGGTGCAGCCACCTCCTTTTTGGGCTGCTGGAGGTGCCCCGGCCAAACCCCTCCCTCCTGGGGCACCGAGCTTCCCTTCCCGAGCTGGGGGATGTCCTGTCCACGCAGCTCTGCGAGGCTCAGCCCCAAATCCAGCAGGGCTGGGGTGACCAGAGCTCCTGGGGGTGACAGGGACAGCAGCCTGCTGGAGCTGGGGGGGTTTTATCCCCCTCCCAGCACGGGGCTGTCTGCAGCTCCCCACAACCTCTGTACCCACGGGCAATTTTCTGTGCTGCAGTTTTGCAAAACCATATTAAGAAAAATCTCGCCCTGGCGCTGCTGGCTCTCCTCCAGGCTGGAAATTGCATTCCCCTGCTTGAAATTCCTGCCGGAGTTTCAGATGGAGAATGTACAACTTCACTTTCCATCTTGAGCTGCTGTCACACATTTTAATAACAGGGCTGGGCTCCACCCCGGGGGTGGCGGCGTGCCAGCAGCCTGGAGCCAGCCCGCTGGAGCTGCTGCTGGAGCTGGGGCTCAGCCCCCAGCCCAGCCCCTTGCAGCTCGGCTGGCCTCTGTGGCTGGCTTTTCATCCTTGCTTGATGAGTTTGTGGTGTCTCCTTTGGTGACGGGAATGGGGTGTGGAGGGGATCAGCTCGGGGTGATCCCAGGGAGGAGATGTGATCCATTCCTCCGTGCTCCAGTCCTCGTTCTCTGATCAGCTCTGGCACAGCCCTGATGCTCCCACCTGGGCTTTTCTCCATCCTGCCTTTCCCCGCTGCAGGATCAGACAAATCCCCCTGCACCGTGACATCAGTGATGGTTTTCCCCAAAATCCAGCAGATAAACCTCAAATCTTGGGGAAAAGCCTTTGCTGAGACCCTGGGTGGGAGTGCAGCCGGGGGTGGCACTGCCAGAGCTCCTGGGGACACCCCTGCCTGGGTGACCCCTGGGTGGGGACAGCGTGGCTTGGGGGACACCGGGCCGTCCCCGGGGATGGGGTGTCCTCCCGGGGCTGCTCTTTGAACCCGAGCAGTTTGTCCAACACCGGCTGCGATCAGGGGAGCAGCCGCGCTAATTGGCTTGGGCCGGCGGCGCTAATTGCCTGTTTGAGCAGCCGCTCGCCCCCAAGCTGTGCTCGCCTTTCAGAGCCGCGCTCGCCTTTACCAGCCTGGCAAGCTGCGCGGGGAGCTGACCTGCAGGGATGCCCTGTTCCCAAAGAATTCCTCATCCCCGCCGCTCCCCCAGCCCTTTCCTTGCTTTCCCTGGAGTAACAAACTCGGGGAAATGGCAGAAATCCCCGAGTGGCTCCTGCCTGCCTGTGGGGTGGGCAGGGGGGCTGGAGGAGGGGACACTGCCACTGCTGGGGACCTGTGGGGTGGGCAGGGGGTCTGGAGGAGGGGACACTGCCACTGCTGGGGACCTGTGGGGTGGCAGGGTCCCCCCTGCTGGTTTGGGATGGGCAGAGGGTGCAGCACGGAGCTCACCTGGCGCTGTGCTGGTGCTGCTGGGTTTGGTCCTGGTGGCACTTGTCACTTGTCCTGGACGTGGCAGGACATCCCCTGCTGCAGGGACTGTGGGAAGAGCTGATCCCACTGCTCTGAGCAGGGTTTGTGGGGTTTCCATGCAGCACCTCCCTCCCCGTGCCCACAGGTGCCACCAGCCCGGCCCTGGGGCTGCCACCCCTGCCAGGACCCAGGGAGGGCAAACAGCCCTGGCTGTGCTTCACTGGGGACCGTGGAGGGTGGCGAGGCCCTGGCACAGCCACTGCCAGCCCAGGGCACCAAACACACTGAGGAGAGCGTGCAGAACTCATTTATCTCAACCAAAATCCCAGATTTTGCTAAAAACCCGCACGTGAGCTGCTCACCCCGAGCTGCCTGCCTGGTGGGGTCTGGGCTGCACGCAGGGACCCCCCTGGATTCATTACACAGCCCCCCCCTCCTGCAGGGCCCCCCAGCTCCTCCAGGCACGGGGCTGGGGTGACCTTGGGCACGTCCCAAGCCCTCGGCGCCTGGCCCTGGCCGCAGACTCGTGTTTTCAGCCTTCTGCCCAGATTCTGGAGGTGAGGAAGGAAGCCCGGGACTGCACTGCGGGGAGCTGGCGCTGCCAAGAGGCCCCGTGGCACCAGCCCTGGCAGCCCCCACGGCGAGGCAGAGGAGGGTGAGTGCCCTGCTCCCCCTGCCACCCTCCCGGAGTCTCCCTGGCTGAGCTGGGACAGGACTCTGTCAGGAGGGATCTGCTCTTGCCAAACGTTCCCGCTCTGACAAATTGGCATTTTCCAAGAGCAACATTCCCGCTCCCAAGGCAAACAGGGAGCTGGAGCTGCTCCTGCTTCCAACGGCTGGGGAGAGGCAGCCAGGGCTGGCCAGGGGCAGGGCTTGGATGTGGTTGTGCTGATGGAGCTGCTCTGATAGTGATGCCTGGGGAGGGCTGAGCTGGAGCAGAGCTGGGCAGAGCTAAGGGATAAAGCAGGGATTTATTAAAAGCTTCAATGGATCCACCTTGGGCAGAGCGAGAGCCCAGCCAGGGCTGCACCCAAGATGAGCCAAAATGGTCACAAAATGCACACTTTTGTAAGTTTATGCAGACTTTCATAAGGTCTCACACTTTTATAATTTTTGGTCCATTTGCATATTGGGGTTCACTGTTCAATTACAGCTTCAGGATATAAAGTTCCATATTTTTGTTTTTCCTCTCTTTATTTCCCAGTTGTTTGCACTTTTTGGGCTGAAGCTGCAGCGGTGTGATTGGTTCTGGGGCTGGCAAAGGATTGTTCTGTGTGGCTGAGCTGTGAGGAGAGCTGCTAACACTTTGTGTGAAGTTCAGAGTTCTGTACCAGTGCAGTCCAGACTCCGGGGAACGGGAGAACCAGAGCAAGGCACCAGGAGCCGCTGCACCCCCGGGATGGGCTGGCCTGGGAGGGGTCTCGGCTGCTCCGTCCCCCTGAGCGCTGCCCTGCGGGCCCGAGCAGCCACGAGAGGGCACAAAGCCCTGCCCCGCAGCCAGGCAGCCTGTCCCCTGTCACCGTGTCACCCTGCGGCCCTGCCACCCTGTCACCGAGTCACCCTGCGGCCCTGTGACCCTGCCATCCTGTCCCCATGTCACCCTGAAGCTTTGTCACCCTGAAGCTGTATCACCCTGTCACCCCCAGCCCTGTCCCTGTGTCCCCCTGCAGGTTTGTCCCCCCCAGCCCTGTCCCAGTGTCACCCCACAGCTTTGTCACCCCCAGCCCTGTCCCAGTGTCACCCCCAGCCCTGTCCCAGTGTCACCCCCCAGCCCTGTCCCAGTGTCACCCCCAGCCCTGTCCCCATGTCCCCCTGCAGGTTTGTCCCCCCCAGCCCTGTCCCAGTGTCACCCTCAGCCCTGTCCCAGTGTCACCCCCAGCCCTGTCCCAGTGTCACCCCCAGCCCTGTCCCCATGTCCCCCTGCAGGTTTGTCACCCCCAGCCCTGTCCCAGTGTCACCCTCAGCCCTGTCCCAGTGTCCCCCTGCAAGTTTGTCACCCCCAGCCCTGTCCCAGTGTCCCCCTGCAGGTTTGTCACCCCCAGCCCTGTCCCAGTGTCACCCCCCAGCCCTGTCCCAGTGTCACCCTGCAGTGCTGCCACCCTACAAGTCCCCACTGGTGTCCCTGTGGCCCTACAGGACCTTCACTGACCCCAACCCCGTCCTGCTGCACCCTCCCCATCCCAGGCCGTGGATCCCCGTTCCCAACACTCCCCAGCTCTTGGAAAAGAGTTAATTACATTAACAGGCTAATTAAGACCCCAGCCTGGGGCCTGCCTGGCATCCTGCTCTGCTGCTGGAGTCAGACCCTTCCCAAAAACAGCCCAGGAATGGCGAGGAGGGGGGAACACAGGCAAGAGGAAAAATTGATGGGAAAATGTGGTGAGGTGTGGGGAAATGGGGGAAATCGTGGGAAAACGTGTGGAAGCACAGGGAAATGGGGGAAGGGTGTGAAAACACGGGGAAGCGTGGTGAAAATATGGAAAAAACATGGGGAAATGTGTGGAAGTGTGGGAAAAAAGGGGGAAATGGGGAAAAGTGAAAACGTGGAGTAGTAACACAGGGAAATGTGGGGTACCATGGAAAACCAAGTGGAAACATGGGAGAAAAAAGGGAAATACAGGGAAATATGGGGTAACATGGAAAATCAATGGAAACATGGGGGGGGGGGGGGAAGGAAAATACAGGGAAAACACGTGAGAACACAGGGAAACATGGGGTAACTTGGAAAACCAAGCAGAAACATGGGGGGGAAAAGGGAAATAGAGGGAAAACATAGAGAAATGTGGGGTAACATGGAAAATCAATGGAAACATGGGGGGGGGGGGGGAAGGAAAATACAGGGAAAACATGTGAGAACACAGGGAAACGTGGGGTAACATGGAAAACCAAGCAGAAACATGGGGGGGAAAAGGGAAATAGAGGGAAAACATAGAGAAATGTGGGGTAACATGGAAAAACAAGCGGAGACATGGGGGAAAAAAGGGAAATGCAGGGAGAACGGAGAGAAATGTGGGGTACCATGAAAAACCAAGCAAAAACATGGGGGGAAAAAGGAAAACACAGGGAAAACACGTGAGAACACAGGGAAACGTGGGCAAACGCGTCCCCTGTGCGGCAGGGCCGGAGCTGCCCCGTCCGGGTGACAGCCACGCGTGGGGGGGGTGGAAGGTTCTGTCCCCGCGGGGACCCCGCGTGTGCCGCGCCCCCTCCCCGCTCCCGATCCCCTCCCTCCCCTCCCTCCCCTTCCCCTCCCCGGGGCGTCACCGCCCCACGCGCGTGTCCTCGCCCTCCCCCGCCCCCGGCCCGGGGGGCGCGGGGGGCGCGGGGGGCGGCAGCCGCCGCTTCCCCCAGGCCATCATCGTGGGCGTGAAGAAGGGCGGGACGCGGGCGCTGCTCGAGTTCCTGCGGGCGCACCCCGGGGTGCGGGCGGTGGGCGCCGAGCCCCACTTCTTCGACAGGTGCTACGAGAAGGGGCTGCGCTGGTACAGGTAAGGCGGCGGGGGGGTGGATGAGGGGGTCGGTAATTAGCGCAGAGCTGCGTTAATTGGTGGCCGGGATGGGATGCGGCGGCTCCGCAACAGGCGGGTCCCCGGAGAGGAAGGGGGTCCGAGGGAAGGGGAGTGCGGGTCCCCGGCTCCGAGCCTCGCCCGGGCTGGGGAAGGGGCTGGCGGCTGCTTTTGGGGGGCTGCTGCAGTGTGAAAAGCGGTGTCCTTGTCCCCGTGTCGCTCCTGTCCCCGCGCCTCCCCTCCCGCATCCCGCCCGGCCGGGGGCGAAGACGGCAGCAAAACCGCGCTCGTTTCACTCCTCAGGCTTTGCGATTTTAACCTTCAGCGCTTTATCTCCAGCCGTGCCCCCGTTTCCCCACCGGCTTCCTTTAGGAATTGTTTTATTCTTGTGGTTTCTGAAGACCAGAAATGAGCGCGGACCTCAGGGAGCGGGCGAGGGGCGAGCCCGTGGGATCCTCGGTGGGCTTGTGGCAAAGGGCAGAGCTGGAGTGAGCCAGGGGGGTTTGTTTCTTGAGGGTTTCCATGGGCTCGAGCTCTTCAGGCGATAAAGCATTCGGAAGAGCAGCTACTGTGCATGTGGAGCGTATTAAACGCGTCCCCGGGCAGCCCCCGAGCGGCTGGGCCGAGCGGAGTCGGCGGCGATAAGTCCCTGGAAGCCGGGGGTGGAACCTGCTCCGTTATTCTGAAGGCAATCCAAATGTGTGGATGTCTGAAAGCGCCGTGGTGCTCTCGGGGAAACATCTGAAAATAATAAAAGGAGCAGCTCTCGCTGTCCTTCCTGCCCGTCCATCCCTTTTCCCCGGGAATTCCGCGTTTCTCTCGCCTTTTGGGGGGAGGCTGCAGCTCCCCAACCCTCGCCGAAGTAACAACCTGTGCAAAATCAGCCGTGTTTAATGGAAAGAGCCATTTTAGCGGTAATTTTACCCGCGGAGTGTCAGCTCTCCGAGCCCACATCTGGGCTGTAAAGTTGCTCTTAGCGCACCTTCAAAACCCAGTAAGTAGCGGCGCTTGTTTTTACGGCTGCGTTAATATCGCCCTGATTTATGGGCTCATTCCTCGGCTCCGGGAACCATAATGATGATCACTAATCTTTTTTTGGGGTGAGCACTGCGAGCTGCCCTCTCGCTCGGCAGAACGGGGCTTTAATGAGTGCGAGAGCATAATTAAAGCGGGGAAGATCGAGCGCTCTCATATCGCGCCCGGCGAGGCTCGCAGGACGGACCGCGGGCAAGGAGCAGAAATAAATCTCAGTTTGGATGGCTCTGCTGCGAGTTTTCAGGGCTGGGAGTGCTTGCAGGGAGCCTGGCCTGACACCAGGCTCGAGGTGATGCCGCATGTGGTTGTGGTAAATTTGGGGAAATGGAGCGGGGAAGGTTTTCTGGGCTGGGGAGAATCCGCATCCTTCGGGGCCAGGCGAAAATCGGGAGATGTTTTACTTTAACTCGGCATAAAGTGTGGTTTTAATCACACACACACACACAAGTATTTCCCTTCGCTTCCTCTGCTCTCTGCCTCTTGTTTTGTCTTCTCACAGACCTCGCAGTACCGAGGGATTTTATCCCCGGCAAAGCCAGACAGAGCTAAATGTTTAAAGCTGGGATGGGCTGGAGTGGAGGGGAACAGAAGTTGGACAGAAAATCGGGTTTTTCCTATGGATATCTCAAAAGTGGTGTAAACATTTTTAAAATATTTGAACTTGCTAGGAAACCGAAATTACACCAACTGTTTCTCACGCCAAGACATTTGGCCCGAAGGCACCTGTAGGTTGTTGCTTGTTTTGAGTAAATGTGGAAAAAGAATTCCCTTGGAAATATCACTCCAGAATTATTTTGTTCTTTCTCAGTAGCTCCGTCCCGTAGTGATTTCCCTGCTCTGGCAGGAGCTTCGCCTCGTGGGTGATAAGTAGTTTGTTGTAAGTTACTGACTGAAATAATTTATTTTTACTGGATTGTTTTATTTAATTTAAATTTGAAATGGCCCAAAGCCTTTTTGTTGGAGTAGTAGTGAAAAGAAAGTGTTCTGCAAAAGCATCTCCTGCAGAATTCCTTGAGTTACTACAGCTTTAGCTAATTCTAAGAAGATTAAACACCTTTTGGAGGCTGCAGCATAAATGATTTAATGGCTGATCCAAGCATGATGGGATGTTTTCTCCTCAAGCAAAAAACTATTTTAATTTTTTTGGCACTCAGTGCTGCTTGAAGGAAACCTCAATAAAAAGAAGAGAGGGTTCTGGGGTGCCTGCTGCCAGTTTGGGGTGTGGGGGTCCCCTTTGGGACTGTCTGGGTCTGTTTGGGAATGTAGGGGAGGACAAATGGTAAAAACTGAATTGAATCCGAGCACTTTGGGGTGATATTCACAAATCCACTGCCAAACTTGGAGCATCTCTGAAGGTGTGGGGCCAGGCCCTGCCTTTCCTGTGGGGATGGAGGAAAACATTGGTGGGGTGAGGGGGTTTGGGGGCTGGAACCCCCTGGGTATGAGGGGAGCAGCTTTGGGCTCACAGGGGACCCCTGGGACGTGTCCACCCCTGGCGTGGCGGGGCTGGGGCTCCCCAGTGCCACTGCTCTGCTCCCCTGGGGACGTTTTGGGGGCGTAGCAGAATCCTTGCGTGGGATTGCTCCCTTTTGGGATGCCAGAGCTGCTCTGGCTCCCACACAGAGTCCCGGCTGCTCCCTGTGCCTCGCCCCAGCCTCGGGGGCTCTGGGGGAGCACGGCAGTGCTGGGAGAGGGGCCTGGGTTGTGGGGAAGGGGTTTCAGGGAGCTCAGCTCTCAGGGAATCGTGTGGGGAGCTCTGAGCTCATCCAAAGGATTCTCCTCGTCCCCATCTGCCAGAACTTTGTGGCAGCGTTGGCTCAGGGTGAGTGGGCTTTTCCTCTGCCCCGGGTTTCCCTGCGTGGTCTGGGGTCCCTGTCCCTCTCCTCCATCCTGTCCTGCTTCTCCCAAAGGAAGCTTGGGCAGGAATGGGGCTGGGCCAGGGCTCCCTGCACCCCACACTGGCATCCAGTGGGATCTGTAGGAATTGTACAGAAAGAATCCCCTGTTTTCATACAGCTTGCACCAGAAGTATTAAAAAGTACCTCGGGATGTGTGGTGATTGTCCCTCTGCAGCCAGAGGGACGCGAGGGGCTGCAACCCCCACCGAGCATCCTCGGGCCCTGCAGGGCCAGCCCGCAGACTCCCGCAGGCCAGATTTAACTTTTCACTCTCTTTTTCTCATCCCATCCAACATGAAAGCTGGCATGAGGGGGAAGAACTCTCGGCGGGGTTCCTCATCCCTCTGTGCCGTGCTGGGTGTCCCAGCTCGGGAGCAGCTCCGGGAGGTGCAGGGGGAGCAGCGAGCCTCCCCTGGCATGTGGGCTTTGCCCCCTCCCCTTCCCCGAGCCCATTCACGGCAGCTAATAACGCTCTTGAAAGGCATCCAGGATTTCTTGAGCCAGACTTTGTTATCTCGGAACCTCGCAACCCCGACGCCTTTGAGCGACAGGGGAAGGACGCGGCTGCGGCGCTGCTCTTTTGACTTTTGCCGGGAGCGTTATTGGCAGCTGAAAAGTGGAGCTAAGTAGGTGCCTGGAGGGGTTTTTGTGTGTGTTGTGATTGTACAGACAGATCAAGACACTCTATAGCCGGAGCTGCTGAATGAAATCGGCTCCTCGGGAGTCACCAGGCTGGGTTTTGGCACCGCTCTCGCGGCCCCTTCCAGGGCGAGCTTTCCTCGGGGAAGCGCCAAGGTGCGGGGAGACAAAGGGATCCGGATGGCGATGCTCGGAGCTGCTCGGGACGTTATCTTTATTCATTGGCACCGCTAATCTCTGCTCCTGGTGGGCTCGGTTTCAGCGCTGCCGCCTCTGAGCGGCCCTTGTTCTCCGGGGCGCTCGCAGACACTCAGCCCCGCAGCCTCTCGCCTCTCTTACTTTGCAATCTTTTCTCCTTTTTTTTCCACTCCCATTCACAAGCGAGACCTTTCTGTCTCAGCTTCCCGGATCCTCACCCCCGTGTTTGGGAAATGAAACCCCGAGTACAAAGAAAACATGCGGGAAACCTGAGAAAAAGCTGATTTTAACTAAGAATAAGATACAGTAAAGCTTTCACTTAAGGCGCAGTGTTTTGGATCGGCTTTTATGCGCTGTTTTAGCCCCAGCCCTGCTCTTAGGACCAGGTTTAAGCGGATGGGTTTCCCTGATGCTGTGCCCCTGTTTTCTGCTCCCCAACACACACCCAGCACCGCCCGGGCTTGGGAAGCCATCCATAATTCGTGCAAAGTTTGGGTTTCTGCAAACTGCTTTCACGTGGGATTAAAAATAGCTTTTACTGCCACGATGAGGAATTAAACATTTGAAACCATTTAAAGGGCTCCCAGCTGCGGGATTGCTGTGGGTGGGGAGGGACGGGGGCTGTGCCTGTCCCGTTTTGGGGGGTCGGGGATGGGGCGAGGAGCACAGCTCAACCCTCCTGCCCCCACTTTCACCCTGTTATTCCCTTATTTCCACGCGGCCGGGTTTTCTTCCCGATCCCATCAAGTGCTTCTTGCTGACCCAAGCAGGTTTGGGAGGCTGAATTCGAGCCCGGCTCAGCCTGCAGGCGAAATGAAGTCGGGCTGCTCCTTGTGCTGCTGCTCAGATCGTGGCAGGCTCCAGCGATTGGAGCTGCGTGTTACTGTTGGCTGGGATTTCGGGGATAAAAGCTGCGACTTGCAGGGTGGAAGGTGCTCTTCCCGGCTCAGGAATGTTTCCCTGTCTCTGGCTCTGTTAAATAAATGGGGGGATTACACCCGGGCTGGGCAGGGGGTGTGCAGGAGTAACCTGAGTTCCTAAAGGATTTCAGACCTTCAGATCAGGATTTCTATCCCAGGCTGCTTAAATACACACAGAAATCACAGGGCTGGTTAAAAAAAAATAACATTATGGGAATTAATACCTTTGGAAAGGGCTTCTTCATTCCTGTCCTTTTTCTTGTTGTAACCTCAGGGGGTAGAAATTGAAATA